AATATAAGACAAACAATAACTATTTTACAAGTAGACATCTTATTGTAATACAACTTTTACGACGTAACTCACAGCTGTACTTTAATAGCAAAGAATTCGTAGAATCCAGATTAGAGTTTGTTGTCTCAGTGATAACACTACACGTGTGCTATATTTTATACTGTTATTAATATTTAGATTAAAACAAAACGTGCATGGTTATTATTTTAGTTACTGTGTCGATTTTTATTCTATTTTCATCAGATTAATCTTGCATGCAAGCTACTTGACTAAACTTTGTATAATTATAAAGGTATCGTACTCCCAATCATTGATAATAAATGATTCATAAACAAAAGTAAAAACATGTTAGTGAAAATCACATGTAAAGTATTTAATTAAAATCACGTGTAAAATATTTAATTAAAATCACATGTAAAATATTTAATCAAAATCACATGTAAAGTATTTAATTAAAATCACGTGTAAAGTATTTAATCAAAATCACGTGTAAAGTATTTAATCAAAATCACATGTAAAGTATTTAATTAAAATCACGTGTAAAGTATTTAATTAAAATCACGTGTAAAGTATTTAATTAAAATCACATGTAAAGTATTTAATCAAAATCACATGTAAAGTATTTAACTAAAATCACGTGTAAAGTATTTAACTAAAATCACGTGTAAAGTATTTAATTAAAATCACATGTAAAGTAGTTAATTAAAGTGTTCATGACTGTAAACGATTAAAAATAGTATTGGGAAAGTAGATTAATGTTTATTTCAGTAAAATAGTGGCATACATTATTTACTGATAATAACTATTGAACAATCACCAAAATGACCGTGCTATAATTCGTTAACCATCATGATTGTTTTAATTAAGTGTTAATTTGCTTTATGTCAGAATATCAAAAATAGCTACTCGTGTATGGCCTGTTATCTTTAAACGTTATAGAAATAAGTTTAGGGAACACCTAATAAAGAACTGATGTTAGATTATTAAGTAGCCTCACGTGTATGCTCTTCTACTGATGAAAGAGTCCTAGCCTCAAGCACAACAGCAGTACTATTTCTTTTGGAATTCGACGCGTAGATGAAGATTTTCAAGAAGGTTTCATCAGGAAGATCACTTATCACGAAAAGTGGAAGATCGAAACTAGTAGAATTCACCAGTAACTTGTGGTCGTTTTTGGTGTATACCGACAGGTGGTACTCGGTTACTCCAACCGTGACTCCTACTGCACAAACAACTGTCAATGACTTTTGTGTCAGATTTTCCACACTGCAGTTCTGAACAGGCTCAGGCCTGACTATAGCTTCGTGGAGGAAGGAAAAGTAGAGACCAGAGTAAATAGCCTGTTCGTTACAATTATAACAAATGTAACTGTTTTCAACATTTAATTAGCTATATATTAACCTACAACAAGATCATTTATAAACGTTACCTTCAATGTGAATAAAACGTTGATTTTTACATTTAAAAGTAAAACTAACACGTGAAACTGGTCTACAGAATGAAGCTTAAACAAACTTCGTTATCAGCTCTCGTTAACAATTTGAAATTGAAATAAGGACACTTACTGACCTCAATCGTTCCGACCACAGTTGTGTTGAATGGACCCGATTGAGCAAAGAAATATTAAACAGTTAATTCCAATAATAATTAATAATGCTAATGAAGACCAGATCACAAATAAGTTCTAAATTAATCAAGAATAAGACATCGAAATAATTTCGCTGTTAATATACAATATGTAAGTATAGAGTGATAAAAAATAGGTTATAGTTAGATGAAAGACGTATTATCTAGATAAATGAACTGTGATCCCACACCCATCTTTTACTAATGGTAGAAATAATATTAATGTAACGATTCATTTCTAATAGTTTGATTTAATGACTAAACAATTATTGTTTTATTTACCTAAACGTTGTGGTTCATCAGTAATAAGAAAATATCAAGTGACAAAGAGTAAATAATATTTAATTACGCGATATGAACAAACTAATATTGTTACTTACTCAATATGACCAAACTAATATTGCTGCTTACGCAATATGACCAAACTAATATTGTTACTTACTCAATATGACCAAACTAATATTGCTACGTACGCAATATGACCAAACTAATATTGTTACTTACGCAATATGACCAAACTAATATTGTTACTTACGCAATATGACCAAACTAATATTGTTACTTACGCAATATGACCAAACTAATATTGTTGCTTCGACTTATTCCAACAATATTTTTAGCTGTACAATGATACCTCCCCCTTAGTGCCTGGGTTACGTTCTTTAACTTGAGAGATTGTCCCCGGATCTCGATACCATTAGTTGGATTTGAAGTTAATATTCTCCCATCGACTTTCCACTGCAAATCTCGAAGTTGTGGGTTGGCGTTTACTTTGCAGTCCAGATAAATACCTGTTCCTTCTCTGATTCCATGATTTTGATTACTAGTACGTAATGTTAGGTAGAGCTTAGGCTTATCTGCAATGGCAACAAAACAATACACAGACATATATATAATTACATTTATGTGACACTCGTACTTTGATGAATTATCGCTAACTACTAGTCAAAGTAAGCTGAATGTATAGACCAGAATCAAAATAAATGTTAGTGTACATAAATTTATATAAATATTTTAAATTTACACCACAGGTTATTTTATTACAGCGCCACCTAGCGTCTAACTAAACAACTTTTGCCCGAACACCCTGAACTCGACCGACGAGAGGCTGGATTAAGATCTGCAAATGGTTGATAATGGTGGTGGTGAATACGACGGTCAAATGCCTCAGAAAAACTTCCAACTCAGATTAAGGTCAGATGACCATCGAAAATGAATGAATTTGTTGTAATGATCTCTTATGGACAGTACGAGCACGATGGACTGCTGCATTATGATACTGGAAGAACTCTAGTTGAGATGGAAACATGGAACAAAGAGGTGGACGTGACCTTCAGGTACATTATAAATCTTATTTGAATGAATCACTATCAAATTATGTTCAGTGGCTGAGAAAACACAGGCAGAGTCAAATATTGGATATAGTTACTCCATATTTACTCTGTTATTTAGTAAAATATTGGATATAGTTACTCCCCAATATTTGACTAGATAACAGAGTAAATATAGAGTAAGTGTGGAGTAACTATATGGTTATCTAGTCAAATATTGGATATAGTTA